CTGAAGCATTGGGAAAAGAACAAACATTTAAGAAAAGATAGCCCCAAATCTCCTGCTTTACTATAAATCCTGCTGACAGGCTTTAGATGCATTTAAGGGAACCTGACAAATAGTAACTGCCCTTTTTCATAGGTTTCTTTCAAGTGCAAGAGCCTGTTTTCTCCATCATGTATGCTCCACTACTTGGCAAATCTACCCAGTAAATGTATGCAAGAGTCCCATCTTCAAGTCTGCAATGTAGCAGCTGGAAAAATCCTCCAATGTCATCTTCCATATACACCTATCACCCATAATTTTATGGCCACCCACCTAATACTGGGTAGATCCCCCTTTCGCTGCCAAAACAGCCCCGAGTTAAGACATGGACGCCACAGAAAACTGAAGGTATGCTGTGGTATTTGGCACCAAGGTGTCAGCAGTAGATCATTAAATTCCTGCGAGTTATGAGGTGGGGCCTACATGGATTGGACTTGTTTTTTTCAGCACATCCCACAGATGCTCCGATGGATCGAGATCTGGAGAATTTGGAGGTCAAGACGACACCTCAAACCATTCTCGAACCAGAATGTTCAAAGACCTTGAAATGTATGTTAGAAAAGAAATTATTTCTTGTAGGAAAAACCCTTTAATCTCCTCCTTCGCTACTCCCTATCAACACCACTGATTGTTCTGACTCCACAGCCTCTCCCTGCACTGCATGAAAACAAGGCATGTGTGAGCCGCACAGGTGGAGCTCTGCTGTGAGCATACCTGCATTGAATCTGTTTATCTGACAAGCCCCATCCTCCTGCATACTTGTGACACTACTTGTCTTGGGAAAGGATGAGCAGCCAGAAACATGCAACTACCAATTCCTAGAAAGTTGGGATGCAAAATCTACAGGGGAGAAAAAATCTAAAAATAAACAATGTGGGGATTCGCAAATCTCAAACCCACACTTCATCCCCAGTGGAAAAGCCCAGTGGAAAAGAGAAAACATAACAAATGTTTAAACAGAGAAAAGATACCATTTAAGAAAAATTTGTAGGCGATTTTTAAAAATGATGGCAACATCTCAAATGTTGGGGGGGGGGGGGGGGGGAGAAGAAGAAAAAAAAAAAAAAAAAAAACCACAGGAAAAGTGGTACCAAGAAAAAGCTGGAACAACATTTTGCAAATGAATTGGTAACAGAACAGTAACATGACTGGGTATAAAAAGAGCATCTTAGAGAGCCAGGGTGTCTAAGATGGGCAGAAATTCGCCAATCTGAAAAACTCCATCTGAAATTGTTTGAAAATTTTTTAGAATAATGTTCAATGTAACATTGCAAAGACCAACAACTTCAATACTGGCCACTTTTACCCCGTTCCTGCCCAGGCCAATTATCAGCTTCCAATGCTCTCGCACTTTGACAATTGACTGGTCATGCAACACTACCCACACTAAATTTTTTTCATTTTGTTCACATAACTAAAGCCTTCTTTTGGTGGTATTTTAGCACCACTGTTTATTTTTTGCTAAATTAACTAAAAAAGCCTGACGTTTTTCTTCGTTTCGGTTGTTTTTTTAAACAATTTTGCAAATAATTCTTCCTCATAAATTTAAGCCAAGGTGTATTCTGCTACGTTTCTCTGGTGAAAACTCAAATCAGTATGTCTGTAAAAAAGTTATAGTGTCCACAAACTATGGTATATAAGGGTACCTCGGTTTACGAATTTAATGTGTTCTGCAGGACTTTGTTTTGCAAAAAAATTCGTAATCCGAAACGTGGCTTCCCATAGGAATGCACTGAAAACCAATTAATCCGTTCCGGAGGTCAAAAAAAAAAAAAAAAAAAAACTATATGAATAAATTTTTTTTTTTTTAAGATTACTTTTTTTCTTTATGATTTTTTTTTCCATAGCACACTGACCAGAGTTGTATAAGATTACCATAGTAACACTACTCTGGGGAAGTGATCAGTTTTTTGGTCACATACTAATTTCATTGCAAGCATTTAACTGAATGAGAAACTAACAATTCAGGTTTTTTGCTGTGATTAGCCACAGCTAATCATACGACACAGATGTGCTGTTTGGCCCAGTCAGTACTATGTGAATACTATGACCAATCAAAGCTAGTAACAATTTTATAAAGTGGATAGCATGAAAGGAAGCCATCCATTGTTTACAATTGTCATGTGACCTGCTGTGATTGGACACAGAGGTCACAAGGTACTGTTAACTTGCCGGTACAAAGATCTGTTATTGGCTGTGTCCGAGGGACTGATCTCGCTACAGCACAGCCCAGCAGGCAGGTATGCACGAGGCGCGATCCGGGAGGGAGTCATGACACTCACCCGGATTGAGAGTCCTGCTCGGGCATCATCTTGTTAAATCTATCATCTACAGTACAATTTCAAAAGATAACGAGATTCTAGAGGAATCTCTTGTCGCAAGGTATAAGGCCGAAATGCAATAATGAATGCCTGATCTTCAGGCCCTCAGACGACAGTGTATTAAACAGGAATGATTCTGTGATGTACATCACCGCATGGGTTTAGAAATACAAAAATCACTGAACATCGTTTTCTGCGCATTCCAAAATTGAAAAGGTAAAGTTCTATTATGCAAAGTCATATCTGAACATGATCCAGAATCACCACTTCTAGGCTTAAGCACATTTTAAATGGTCTGTTGTGGGGGTATTCCCAAAATGGTTACTGCAGTGGCCGCATAGCGAAGAGCTCTGCTTTCTTAATTTTTAACATGGCTCCATCCAAGGGCTAGAGCTGCCAATGTTTCACCCATCATCCTACCTGCTAAGGCTGCTGTCTGGGGGAAGCTGCCGATTAGCATTTAACCGCTGCACTGGGGACAGTCTAGTTTCCTCCACAGAGTTTCCTCCACTTTCCACTGCATATTACTCTACCGATTGTAGATGACTAAAGGTAGAACTGCAACCTCTTGCAAATGATCTGGTTTCTTAGAACCCACCAAGGCTAGCAAGCCAATGGAGCCTGTAGGGGGCAACAGATATGGTCTCACAACCCTAAAGGGCTCAACTCACTTCCAGCACCTGCTGACTAACTTGTTCATGGCAGTACAATACCCGTCAGGTAGTTCTCAAAAAAAAACAAAAAACACCAGAGCACTTACAGACCAACAATGGACTGATTTTGCGGGACTTGGATGCATTTCGAGGCCACAAAGCTAAAATTCACTCTGCAGGTCACGGTCAAGTACCTGGAGGGTAGAGCGGAGGATGCAGAGAATAGAAGTCACTACCTGCGTGAACAGTCAGGGCAGTGCACGTTACCTTTCCTCATGACATTGGGAAGTGTTGGAGGTAGTGTTGGAGGTGGTGGTGGTAAAGGGGGGGGTTGTTTATGTTTTGTGGGAGTTTTTAAATTTCTTTTTTCAACTGAGGTACATTATATGTTCTACATGGTCAATTTCTGCAATTTTCAATACTGCAATAGTCCTATTTCTGTCATGCTGCCTGGTCTGAACTGTGCAATTTTTTTGGGAATCCAGCCTGAGGGGTCATATATTTCCTAAATTCTCCTATAATGATATCCCCCGAATTGAAATGCATTTCCTGGAAATACAGTGCGATTGGAAATCAGTGGGGGAAAGGTGCATCCGTGAGGCCTCCAGGTCTATAGCACACAGAAAGATAGGAAAAATTGCTGCACTTGGTATCCTTAAGGGAACAGGGGGAAAAAAAAGTTCAAGTTCACCTTTACATGAACGGAGGCCCCAGTAGTTTCAAATGCATTGTGTCATAGGTAAACTTACCATTGGATGCAAATGTCACACCTGTATGCTTTTCTGTCACCCGTGAATCCTGGCCAAAATGTTTACATTGCTACATCCTGGCTTGTTTCCAGGAAGCTGCATACATTGGCTCCCCCTCATTACAGGAGCAAGAGCCTTTTCCTGGTGTAGAAGTCACACAGTGCGCTCCCTCTCCCCTTATTCTAGCAGCAGCTGAACTCAGCATTAAAGACTTACAGGCAGGGTTTTTACAACAGAAGAGACCTTAATATGGTCTCTTCTTCCCCCTGCCTGTCAGATGTAATGTACAGGGCATACACAAAAATGGAAACGCTACATTTGCAGGTGTGAAAGTGACATGTTTCAAGTTGAAAGTGGAAGTGATGCAACATTATTTTGCTTCTGTTGTGTGATGGGCCACCTGGCTAAGCCTCACTTGCATCATTCACTGTGTGCACGGAAAGTAATACGGAGTCATGGTACAGTATTAAAGGTATTGATGGCATATACAGTTTCCAGGAAAAATCGTCTAAGCAGCACAAGTGCGGTCAACTGATCGAAAGACAAAAGGACATTGCACAGGATTGTGACCTGGAAGAAAACAACTGCTGCAAAAGTGGCTGCAGAGATCAATCTCAGGCTCCATACACACTAAGCTAAAAAAAAAAAAAAAAAGCCAAAAAACTACTGGATGAAAGTTACTCATAACAGTTATTTAGCGCCAGCTATTACCAAAAGTGGTTGTAAAGGTTCAGGTTGTTTTTTACTTTAATGCATCCTATGCATGAAGGTAAAAAAAAATAAAAACAAAAACAAACTTGTGTGTGCAGCAGCCCCCCAATACTTACGTGAGCCCCATCATGATCAAGCAATGTGCACGAGAGCCTTGGCTCTCCAGGGACTCTCCCTCATTGGCAGAGAGCAGCAGTGGCAAACAGCTCTTGCTGCTGTCAATCACAACCCATGAGCCAATGAAGAGAGAGGGGCAGAGCCGAATGTACGTTCAGAGCAGCGGTTCAGGAGCAAGCCTGCTTGGGTGCCCACATAGCAAGCTGCTTGCTTTAGCGGCACTTGGCAAGAGAGGGGCCAGGAACACCACAGGGGGATCCAACAAGAGGAGGATCAGGGCTGGTTTGTGCAAAACCACTGCACTGAGGCAAGTATGACTTTCAAAATTGCCTTTAATATCACTTAAAGCAAGCTGCAATAGACATGCCAAATCTCAAAGCAAGTATGGGCAGGACAGTATTCGAAAATCAGACCTGTATGAGACTCTGTTGCGGCTCCTGCCTCATCCCAAGAATCTTCAGTGCCATTGACAGTTTGTGAAACTTCAGTGCTTCCTTGTGGAATTTCCTGCCATACCTTTGCATTTGGATTCAAACCAGCACCTTTTGACGCCACCTAAAAATAAATGGCAAAATGAAATGGTCAGCATTTGTACACATTAAGGAAATTTTTTTCAGAAAGGTAGTATAATTATAAGAAGCCAACATAGCTCAGTGACCTTAACTTTGCAAATACAGATACACTACTGTGCAAAAGTTTTAGTCAGGTGTGAAAAATGTTGTACTGAATGCCATCAGAAACAGAAGTGTTCAAAGTTTATTTTCATCAATTAACCACTTGCACTCCTGAGGATTTACCCCTCTTCCTGACCAGGCCATTTTTTGCATTACGGCGCTGCATTACTTTAACTGACAATTGTGCGGTCATGCAACTCTGCACCCAAATGAAATTTACGTACCCCCCCCCCCCCCCCACTAATTGAGCTTTCTTTCAGTGGTATTTGATTGCCTGTGTGGTTTTTTGAAAAAAAAATATTTTTTACTTTTTGCCCCAGTAACACCAATACAGTGATCAGTGCTAATCAAAAGCACTAACTACAAAAGGCATTGGGCAGGAAGGGGTTAACATGTGGGACGATCAAAGGAGACCTCGGCAATCACTGGGCGACGGCGAGTAATCACCGACCGGGACCTGGTGATTGGAGGTAACAAGTGCGGCGCGGGTAGGGCGTGTGCGCGTCCCCTACCCGGAAATGCAAAATCACGTATGAAAATCACAGTGAAGGAAATAAGTATTTGATCCCCTGCTGATTTTGAAAGTTTGCCCACTCACAAAGAAATGATCAGTCTACAAATAGAATGGTAGGTGTATTGTAACAGACAGAATAGCAAAATTCTAAAGAAATGCATGTCTAACAAATTATGCACTGATTTGCATGTTCATGAGGGAAATAACTATTTGATTCCCTTCACAAAACATGACTTCGTACTTGGTGGCAAATCCCTTGCTGGCAATCACCGAGCTCAGACGTTTCCTGTAGTTGGCCACCAGGTTTGCACACATCTCAGGAGGGATTTTGACCAACTCCTCTTGGCAGATCCTCTCCAAGTCATTAAGGTTTGGTGGCTGACGTTTGGCAACTCGAACCTTCAGCTCCCTCCACAGATTTTCAATTGGATTAATGTCTGGAGACTGGCTAGGCCACTCCAGGACCTTAATTTGCTTCTTCTTGAGCCACTCCTTTGTTGCCTTAGCTGTGTGTTTTGGGTCATTGTCATGCTGGAACACCCATCCACGACCCATTTTCAATGCCCTGGCTGAGGGAAGAAGGTTCTCACCCAAGATTTGACGGTACATTGCCCTGTCCATCGTCCCTTTGATGCGGTGCAGTTGTCCTGTCCCCTTAGCAGAAAAACACCCCCAAAAGCAGAATGTTTCCACCACCATGTTTGACAGTTGCGATGGTGTTCTTGGGGTCATAGACAGCATTCCTCCTCCTCCAAACACGGCAAGTTGAGTTGATGCTAAAGAGCTCAATTTTGGTCTCATCTGACCACAACACTTTCAACCAGTCCTCCTCTGCATCATTCAGATGTTCAGTGGCAAACTTCAGACGGGCCTGGACATGTGCTTTCTTGAGCAGAGGGACCTTGCGGGCACTGCAGGATTTCAATTCTTGTCAGCGTAGTGTGTTACCAATTGTTTTCTTGGTGACTGTGGCCCCAGCTGCCTGGAGATCATTGACTAGAACCTCACGTGTAGTTCTGGGATGATTCCTTACTGTTCTCATGATCATTGACACTCCACAAATGAGATCTTGCACGGTGCACCAGACCCAGGGAGACTGACAGTTGTTTTGTGTTTCTTCCATTTGCGAATGATTGCACCAACTGTTGTCACCTTTTCACCAAGCTGCTTGGCGATAGTTTGGAAGCGCAGTCCAGCCTTGTGTAGGTCTACAATCTTGTGTCTGACATCCTTGGACAGCTCTTTGGTATTTGCCATGGTGGAGAGTTTGGAATCTGACTGTTTGATTGCTCCCGTGGACAGGTGTCTTTTATACAGGTAACAAAATTAGATTAGCAGCACTGCCTTTAAGAGACTGCTTCTAATCTCAGCTTGTTACCTGTATGAAAGACACCTGGTAGCCAGAAATCCTGCTGAATGATAGGGGATTAAATACTTATTTCCCTCAAAAACATGCAAATCAGTGCATAATTTTGTTAGACATGCATTTCTTTAGAATTTTTTGTTGCTATTCTGTCTCAGTGTTACAATACACCTACCATTCGATTTTTAGACTGAACATTTTTGTGAGTGGGCAAACATTCAAAATCAGCAGGGGATCAAATACTTATTTCCTTCACTGTATATACATACAGACACACACAAGTCATTTGTGCACCCCTGCCACCCAGTAGCAGTATATCTGCTATAGGCCAGTGGGAATGAGGTTAAACTGGAAAGTACACAAATCAATATTTGGGGTGACCACACTGCCTTCAAAACAGCACCAATTAAAGGAAAACATGCAGTTTCTGAAGGAACTCGGCAGGTAGGCTGTTCCAAACATTTTGGAAAACTAAACACAGATCTTCTGGGGATGTAACCTTCCTCTTCATGCAATTTCCATACAGACTTGATGTTGAGATCAGGGCTCTGTAGGAGTCTATCACTTCCAGGACTCCTTGCTCTGTGCACTGGCTCCAATTTTGGGGTCAATCATACACCTCCCTGATGGTATGATATGGACAAGTACCTGCTTGTATTTCTCAGCACGAAGGACAACCTTGATCCTGAAATTCAACTCCATGTGAAGAAAAGCAGCCCCAAACGTGCAAGGAACAAGAGCCATGATTCACTGTTGCCTGCAGACAATCATTGTACCACTCCTCCAGCCCTGTTGGCTAACTGCCTCCTGTTACAGTCAAATATTTAAAGTTTTGACTCATCAGTCCAGAGCACCTGCTACCATTTTTCTGCACCCCAGTTCCTATGCTTTTGTGCATAGCTGAGTCAGTAAGCGTTGTTTCCCAGTTGGAGGTATGTCTTTTTTGCCGCATTTCTTCCATGAAGACTACTTCGGGCCAGACTTCTCCAGACAGTGGATGGGTGTACCTCAGTCCCACTGGTTTCTGCCAGTACTGTGCTAATGGTACTACTGGATACGTTCGAATGTCGAAGGAAAGTAAGCATGTTGTGTTTCATCTGCTTATAGGTCTCCTTGCCCGACCATTGCGTCTGTGGTCCTTAACCTTGTGCGTTTCCTTATGCTTCTTCAAAAGAGCTTGAAAAAAACATCTTGAAATGCCCATCTGCGTTGAAATCTTTGCTTGGGAGAGACCTTGTTGGAGTATAACTACCTTGTCTCTTGATGCTGTGCTCTTAACTTTGGCTTCAAACCAGCATCAATTCTTACACGTGCACAAAATGCAGCCACCCCAAACATTGATTTGACATTCTTCTGCTCACTCTTTCTACATTTTGCAAAATGATAAAAACCACTTTGGCTGCAGAAGGTTTTATCCCCTTCATAACCAGGGCATTTTTTTCTGCTATTCCTCACTGCACTACTTTAACTGTTAATTGCACAGTCATCACGCACTGTACCCAAATAAAATTTCTCTTTTTCACACGAGAGCTTTCCTTTGGTGGTATTTGATCACCACTGAGTTTTTTTTTTAATAAACGAAAAAAGACTGATTTTGAGAATTAAAAAAAAAAAAAAAAAAGTTAAAGGTCTTAATAAATTTTAGGCCAATATATTTTCTATTTTATATGTCCGGTTTAAAAAAAAAAAAAAAAAAAAAAAAAAAAAAAAACTTCCCAGTAAATGCATATTTATCGGTTTGTATAAACATAGCATCTAAAAATGACAGTATATATACTGGAATTTACGTAGCTATGGAGCTATACTGGTAAGTGATCAGCGACTTAGTAGGACTGATGGTGTGGCAGGCAAACTAGAGGCAGCTGACGCAGACTGGGAGATGCACTGAAAATAGTGGAACCAATACAGTGATCAGCGCTAATACTGTACACGGTCACCGTACCAATGACAATAGCTGGGAAGGGGTTAACTAGGGGCAAGCAAAGGGTAAACTGCGTGGCTAACAATCTAACGTGTGTAATATGTGCTGCTTTTACTACTAGAACATGCTGTTTTTATCCCGGAGAAACAGTGAGATCGCTGCTCTATGTACAGAGCCCTGTGCTATTTGTAAACACAGGACTATGTGTTGTGTTTGGCCGGGACCTGCTGACAAACCAGTGCGGAGCGGCATCAAACTTGCAACATTTACATTGCTGAGTCTGCAGCTGCCGCTCGGTCATAGCAAGTCTGGTGGCAGCTTGTGAAACGGACAGGCTGAAAGATACTGTGGCTGGACACTGCATTAAGCGGGTCTAACATTTAGGAAAGTAAATGCCCAGGGATGAATGTCTGGAATGCCATTCCATGCACGGTCTAGCTGCAGTAGCTTTCAGCCTACAGATTTTACAGGCCTTCTGTAGTAGGGCATGACAATGACACCTGCACAAAAGAACCAGAAACTCATGCACAGGGACTAAACTTCCACTGTGCATGAGGACTAACAAAGTGGTTGTAAAGGCTGAAGGCTTTTTACAAAAACCTGTGTGCAGCAATGCCCCCCAGCCCCCTCAATACTTACCCGAGACCCATCAAGATCCAGCGATGTGAATGACTGCCTCGGCTGTCCCAGGTCACTGTCTCCTCATTGGCAGAGACAGCAAGCGAAGCCATTGGCTCCAGCTGCTGTCAATCACAGCCAGGCAGCCAATGAGGAGAAAGGAGGGTGGGGCCAGGCCAAGGTTGTGTGTGAATGGACACGGAGCAGCGGGTGCCCCCATACGCAGTTGCTTGCTGTGGGGGCACCCGACAGAAGGGATGGGCCAGGAGCGCCGATGGGGACCAGAGGAGGATCCAGGCTGTTCTGTGCAAAACCACTGCACACAGCAGGTAAGTACACACGTTTGTTTTCCAAAAAAAATAAAAAATGAACTTTTAGAATTGCTTTAAGCCTTATTAACACAACGGCTTTGGCTCACGCACCAAGAATGAGCATACAGCCAGGGCAAAGATCAAAAAGTGTTTG